TAGAAACTGCTAGACAAAGGCTCAATGAAGGCAATGGCGTATTAAAAAGAAAATTTTTTATCCAATCAGTTTAACTGCTTGACCTCTTAAAATCATCTTACTCTATATAAAACTGTTCTGTGTTCATTTTAATTCACTTAGTTTACTTCTGCAACAACAAGTTTAAAACTGGCTTTCAAATGTTGGATTTTTATTGATCGAACTGACTGTCAAGAAAAAATTATGTCTCCATGGTATGGAATTGTATGAAATTTTTTTGATTTAAGTCGCCAACTGTGGTACCACCTACGATGCGGCTTTTGGGTACTACTGTACATTTTTCCTGTATTCATCACTCGCAACTTACTTGGGATTCAGACCAGATTTTGAAAACTACCGCCACGTTTTCATACAAACAGTTCGTCTCCAATGACGGCTTCTTCAACCAATGAGCTCTAAAATGGTGCAGGTTCAAACAACAACTTCCATGTAAAGCATAAAATTTTTACTTATGCAAGTCGGTGAACTTGATCAACAAAGGATAGAACGAATAAATGTCGCGAACCAGGATAGAGTTTTCCTACAAATACTTTTAGGTCAAAAACCATATGCAAATCGTTTAAATGAAATCTGCCTAATAATTTATCTTCGAATTTCTTTTACATACAATGAATAATGATATTACATGTATTGGGTATTGCATTTATGAAATCCACTAGCCTTATGTCAAGATTTAACCACCCAAGCACGTATTTGATATCTTTAGGAATTATCAGGAGTTCTCTACATACTGTTGTGATTTTCTGCATTTCAGCCATTTACTGTTCTTGTTAGTATGGATCGTTAACCTGTACAGCTTTCAGTGCTCTATCATCCATTCACTGTCCAAACGAAGCACTGCCTTAGGCGTGATGTCCCTAATTTAAGTCCATCGTTGATACGATGAAGGTCTCTTGCGGGCCATATAGTCTGGCCAATCGGCTAACAAATGCACCATTCTTATATGTTAAAGACCTTTCCTGCCTATATATCCTCTTGACTTGTATGACGGTTTTTTTCATCATAAGCATTTTTTTCTGCGAAATAAATAAGCATATACAACCGGTGTGCATATATAACGCTAGATGAAGTATGAATAATAATTCTTTTTCGAATTTCGACAGTCGAGCCATCTGGTTAGAAATCTGTGGCTTTTTGAAGTATCTCTCCTGCATTATCTTGATCGCACCCAAGAACCATCGCAATTGGCCTTTTTGCGATCGTGTAACATACAAATTAATCGTTACAGGCACTTGCCTTGCCGCCAAGTTTCCGTTCTGTAGTCAAGATGACCTAATGATACTAAAACGACGCGACATCTGCAGCTCAGTAGCACCCATGGTACTTTCAGCCAGAATGTGACTTTTGACCACCGGCATCCCGCTAAAGTTATGACCAAAAGGGTTGCTTTCGCTGCCAATATGCAGATGGAAGTAAGTTTCAGGTCGTTGGATCCAACATACTGTCCCCGAATAAGTATCGACGCCATATTCGGTTGTTATTTGCGAATCGCTGCATCATATTAGACAGAGAGCTTCGACAGAATATCTCACCATCTGATTGGAGATTAGCAGCTCTTTGACGAAATGGCTGCAGAATGGGCCCTGTCCCAAAGGTTCTACCTATGTGAATGTCGTAGAACTTAAAAAACCTAATAGCTTTGTAAACATCATGCGTCAGGTGGAGCAAACAGGTAACATTACGCAGGAAAAAAGCAGAATAAGAAAGACAGTATGAACCAGCTTTAACCTATATGACCTCGCTATTCGGCGGTGAGCTGATCAGGCCAGGAAAGAAAGAACACTTCGATTCAACCATCTTACCGCCATGATCAATGGCGTTAAATGTTGGTTTACCCCAAAAGCCAAAGAGAACAATCTATCGATCACGCCATGAGCAATGTAGTTGAGGATGTGTCGTCTCCCTCCGGAATTAAGCTCCTAATACAGAAATTAGAAAAATGACCGGATTAACAGATTCTTGCTGGACGTCAAGAATTAAAAGGTGGGTTCCGGTGGACCACAGATATCTATTCGGTCTTCTAAGAACATGGTGGGACAATCTGATGGTCAAATTACTTTGTCAGCTTAAGAGGAAGAAAACACAGAACAGACAATACCAAAGGAAAGTCGACTTGTGTTCATGGCGGCTGCATAACGATAACAAATCAGAGAGATGATACTAGATCATATTCAGGGTTAAGTTAATAAAATATTAGTAAACAGCAGAAAATTAGGACAAAAATGGTACTGACCTCTATTACAGCGTTTTCGTCGGTAGTTTCCGGATGTGTGCGTAGCCGTTCTTCCTCTTTGAATGCTTGTTCAGCGGATCGACGAATTTTTGCAGCAATGGGAAGAAGGTAGTCATTCAGCGGATCGATCGTGACATACGGAATCATTGGCTGAAGCGAAGCTGCAAACAAGGACGAGTGCAAAACTGACAAAAGAGACAACACACTTACGAGTAAATCGAAACAGCCAAATCGCGTTTTTCGAACCCGTATGATCAGCGACTACCTTCAGAGCCGCCACAAACAGTTTGTTGATGTATTCGCTATTAATATTTGTAACCTTTGTTCTAGAAGTCAAGTATTAGAGGAAAATGTAAGGTAGGCAATGTAGTGAGAAATTCGAAAAAGTTAAATACTCAGACGGAGTTCCATCCTCGCCGAACTGCCGCCAGTACGTCATGTAGCTGCATAGCATCGGCAGGTGGACATCGAAGATGTTCGGATCATCGTCGTACTTGCCGCCAACATTTGCTACGTCTTCGATCTTTTGCAGCACGTCGTCGAGCAGCGGTATGTTGCTTGAATACGTATGAAGCATTTCTAAGATCAAGAAATGAATTCATCAACAAATTGGCCAATTATCGCAAAAACCCTATACACGAACATATACTCTTTTATGAACTTCAAATACAGAATAGCTCTGGAAGGGCGCTCTCAATCGAATGTGCTTGAGTGGCTCTAGTGCTACCGAAGGATGTGTTGATCGAATTTTTGTGAGGCTTTCGATAAACAGCCGTACCCACAACGTGTGTTACATATGCAAGGAGTGCGGTTCTGAACTCAACAATACTGAACATTACCGAACCGACAGAGGTAGAACTTACTGTGGAGGAACCAGAATGATGCGTTCAGAGTGGCGGTCTGCCAATCAACCGTAGGAGGGGTGAACATAGTTAGCACAATTACTATTGGCAGTTGAGCAGCCGATTACGATAAAGAAAGAGCCTGTTGCATGAGAGCTCACCGCCAAGTATTTGGGCATGAAATTAAATAAATGAATAGGAAGTCTGACTGTGTCATATTAGTGTTCACCAAAATACGCGAGACCACACTGAT